TTTAATTTTATTTATTATTATTATTATTATTATTATTATTATTAATTTGACCACAGAGCGACAAAGAGAAGGAAGGTGAGAAAGCATACCACTAGGTCTGGGACTTAAACCATGGTCACCCATGTGGGAATCCAGTGCCTTAATCAGCATGCCACCTGCTGGCCCCTAGTTCCTTGATTTTTAAGAACTCTTCATTGACATAAAGATGCTATCCACCAAACTATATATATAGCCTGTTGTTATAAAATAAAATGACCTGTCATCTCATTTTTCAGGTACATTTACAGGTTAAGCATTACAAATTCAAAAATTTGAAATTTGAAATGCTCCCAAATCCAAAACTTTTTGATTACTGTTTGAGTACTGATATGATTCTGTAAGTGGAAAATTCCACACTTGACCTGATAGGTTGTAGTCAAAATGCTGCAGTGCAAAAATACTGTATAAAATTACCTTCAGGCTTTGTCTGTAGGCATATATTTTGGGTTTAGACTTGGGTCCCATACCAAAGCTATCTCATTATGTATATGCAAATTTTCTGAAATTAAAAAAAAAAATCCAAAGTCCAAACTACTCTAATCTCCAAAATTTTGGGTAAGGGCTATTCAACCTATACTAATATATTTAATACTTTGACTATATATTTTTTCTTTAACTATATATATTACAAACACACATATTTCTCTTTGACAAAAATAACATCATAGTCTTATCCTCTTGTGTAACCTTTTCCACTTAGCGAAGAGTCAGACGTATTTTTCTTTTCTTTAAAATAGAATTCAATGATATTATTTCAGTTGACAGAGGGTACATGCACTCGCCAGAGAGAAACAGGGAGAGAGGGAGAAAGCACCTCCAAACAGGGCATGGTCAGACTGCAGTCCCTTTTCCTCTCTTTGTCCATCCTGTCGGGATTTTTGTGCATGTACACACATGTGCCCAGCCAGTGTGTTATTTTAAGGTGCTGGGTCAGGATTCCAAAAGGATTACATCCTTTTGCTTGTGAGGAAAGCTATCTCATGCTAGCATACAAAAAGAATCCTCACTGGGCAGTAAACAAAATGGGAGGCTAATGAGAATCAACTGTTAGATTCACTCGGTAGCTAAGGTTTATGGGAACTGGTGGTGAAGTTAGTTTGAAATATAGGGGGCTCCATCACCGGAGCAAGAGGAGTTTGTGAACCTTCTCTCCTGCATTGCTGGTAGGCAGTACTTACTCTTCAGTCTGTGACTGCTTTTTAGTTGACTGTCTCTGATTGCTAGTAGTTTGTGCTCACACATAAATTAACTAGCATGGATTTAGCCATGACTCATTCTGAGAGAGAATCTGATTAGCTCAGGCATTGCTTTGACCGGGATAGTCATGTCAAAAGGGCTGCCCACTTGTAGATTGGTTGTCCTGGGGACAGTGACTATTGCTGCCCAGGCTACTGCTGGGAGTGACTGGGTCATGAGGATGCACCAGAGGCCATGGGCAGGGTAATCGGTATAACTGGTATGGCAAATAGTTACAGATGGTGTGACCTCGAGGTCTTTGATGTGGATATGGATATTCTGATTTAAAGAATACATATGTAGGAGGGAAGAATAGCAAGTATATAAATCTTTTACTTGCAAAGTATCTTCAGAAAAATTTTGTGGCACCCGACAGAAAGAAGTATTAGTTGTGAGTTCTGGGACTGCTCACACCTTTGATCCCCACCAAAGAAGGAAAATTACAAACAAACAAACAAAAAAAAGGAAAATGAACACCTATCAATAAAATTTGATTTGTTGAATGTATAGAGATGTCAGGGAAGTAGGAAAATACATTTTACATTTGTGAGGCATTACACAGATATTTTAAGGTCCTAGACTTTTTCTCTACCTAGTTATATAAGAAGTTCAGTAGGGAAAATTGTGAGCTGATTATTAAAAACACGTAATTCTTATTCTTTCTTTCACTTGATTTTATAGCTTTTGACCATATTTGGGAATTTTCTGGAGAAGCCAGTTGTCATGGAAATTTTCAGCCCACATTACAACACACTAGTGCACATGTTTATTGCAGAGCTGGATATGTGTAAGCAATTGTACAATGAACATGTGAAACAGGTGAGTGGTGAATGAAGTTGAGCACGTTTTATTATAAAAATGGCACGATATTATTTTTGTGAACAATGGCTATGATCTGAAACTGTATTTGACTATTCATACTGATTAGATATAGGTACTAAAATGTTTATGCTTTTCTTGGCTTTTTTATGGAGATGGAGAACCTGCTTTAGGACTCCAACTCTTCTACCAATGAATTATTAATCACATAACATCTCATATTACTGTAAAAGTACCAACAGGGCCAATTGCTTGCAAAGTGGGAAGACACTATGATGAAATATTCCCTTTCTTCCTCTTCACCAAAATATCAACTTCTAGATTGAACGTGGACATGCAGTTCTTAATAAGAACATGCCATTTACTTCAGGAAATATCAAATGGGCCAGAGAAGTCCTTGAACGACTTCAAACGTTTTGGTCCAACTTTGCATCTCTCCAGTATCTGTGAGTAGTTTGGCCTACTTCAAATTTCCTTAATATTATGGGTAACTTTTATATAGGGCAGTGTCCTGTCTGTGTTGCTTTATTTTACTTCTGTCATTGGTGTTCTAAAACCATGAGGGATTCATGGTTTATTGGGACTCTTTTAAAACTTTTTTTCTTTTTAGTTTGCCACAGGGCATGTGCACTTGCCAGAGAGAGATGGAAAGACAGAGAATGGGAAAGTGAGAAGATATCCCCATCAGTCATGGTCCTGCCACATTCCTTTCTCCTCTATTTCTCTCTCCTGTCAGGATTTTGGCACACAAGTGCACCCTGTGTATATTTTACTCTGCTGGGTCTGGGTCTCAAACCTAATAGTCGACCATATGGGATCCAACCACCCACCTGTATTTGGAGTTGTTGGTTTATTTATTTATTTATTTATTTTCCTTTTTTTTCCAATAACTGACATCTTTTTTAAATGATCTTTTTGTAAGAATTAAATGTTATCTTTACATTTCACAAAATCTTCGGAGTTCCATCAATTTTATAACTAAATCTTTTAAAGAAAAAACAGTTCATAAGCATTATTTGGTCTGTTCTTTCTTTTTCCTATTGTTATTGTGTTATCACAGTATATTTATTTTGTGTGTTATATCCTTGTAAAATTACTAAGTTGAAATGTAATGTATAGAACATTAGAAAAATCTATTCTTATAGATTCTTGAACAGTCCTGAGGATGCCTTAGTTTATCAGAAGTATGTTGAAATGACCACTTTGCTAGACCAATTTGAAAATCACATCTATAACAAGTGGAAAAGTAATGTGGATGAAATCTGTGCATTTAATTTGAACCAACCCTTGGTTAAATTCAGTGCCATAAATGGTCTTCTCAGTGTCAACTTTGACCCAAAGGTAGGTATTTTATTTTTTTCAGATATTTTATAGATGATATCTTTATTTATTTATTTTTAAAGTTATTTTAATTTAGCTTTATTTATTTATTTATTTTTAATTTGACTATAGAGAGACAATATCATAAAGTGAGAGAGCAAGCCGCCAGGTCCAGGACTCGAACCTTGGCCTTGGTCTGCCATGTGGGAGTGCAGCACTCTCAACCACCACACCACCTGCTGGCCCCTAGATGCTATTTTTATTATAAATGACATTGAGTCATTTATAATTTATTATGGAAAAGGGTCAATGGTGTGTGGAATATGATTAAGCAACTTCTAGTAGGTCTCTGATTTAGAAATTTGTTTACCAAGTCCTTTGTTCATTACTCTTTATTATTTTGTCCTGGCACCATTTCTGTATCACTCACCCTCACTAGACAGTGAATACTGTGAGTAGGGTCCATTTCATTTCATCCTTGTGTTCCATGCTTCTTGCATGGTGTCTGGCACTAGATGACATTTAGTTAATGTTAGCTTTAAGGAACTGAATCATTAGTTTTTACCAAATGGCTTCTGGCTTGCATTGTATTCACAACATAAACCAGTTTTTTGTTTGTTTTTTCAAGAGTTTTGCTGTAGGGCATGTGCACTCCCTGGAGAGACACAGAGAGATCTAGAGATAGAAAGTGAGAATTCATTCCCTAGGGGAATAGCCACGCCATAATCCCTTCTCCTCCATTATCTTTTCTCACTATTGTGGGCATACATGCACACATGTTCAGCATGAGTTTCAAGTCACTGGGTCTGGAATTTGGACAATCGTCAGCTATGTGGGAGTCAAGTAATTACATTATCTGCTGATCCCTCTAAACCAGTTTTTTTTTTTTTTTTTTTTTTTGAGAGATTTTTGCTATAGGCGGCTTGCACTTGCTCAAGAGTCCAGCAATGTAACCATTAAACCATCTGCTGGTTCCTATAAACCAGTTTTTTAATTAAAATTCCATTGTGTAAGTTAAGACTGGGGAATCCTCAGGCTATTTGGAATGAAATATCTGTCATGCTTTTGGTGGACAAAGGTAAATTTTGGTTTGTTACAACTTATTTTCAAGGGACAGTAAGTTTGTATATGGCAATTAAATTGATGGCAATTACAAATTATTTTTATTGGCCCTGCAGGTGTGGTGATTAAGGTGGTTGTACTCCCACATGGCTGACCATGGTTCGAGCCCTGGACCTGGTAGCTTGCTTTCTCACTTTCTTTCTGTCTGTCTCTCTCTGGTCAACTTCAATAAAATAAAACAAATAATTGCAATGAATAAAATTTATTCTTTAATAATAATTTTAAGACATTTTATTTTATTTTAAATTTAATCACTGTATATGTTTTTTAAGAATTTCAGTGAAACCTGAACAAGGTATGAGGACCTGATGGTACAATGTGTCATTATTATTTTTAAAATAATTATTTTAAGTTTGTCTTTTTTTCTTTTTTCTTTTTAATTTGCTACAGGACAAGTGCACCCACCAGAGAGAGAGAGAGAGAAAGTAAAAAAGCAAGCTGCCAGATCCAGGACTCGAACTGTGATTAGTCATGTGGGAGTGTCCAGCGGCTTAACCACCATGCCACCTGCTGGTCCTCTTAATCACTGTATATCTCAACAGTATGCAAAATAAATTTTCCTGGCATAAATACTTTCTGTATTAGTCCCATTAGATATTGCCAAACACATTGTCATCAACAGATAATTTTCCATTTTTGTGTTCCTTAAATGTTTTGCTTCTTTTTCCCCTTGATTCCCTTCCTTTCTTCCCCATTTCCCACCATCCTCCCACACTATCTTTAGTATCCACAGTTGATCTCCATTATTTTATGCCTTCCAGGCTTTCATTTTCTGTCATAGAGTACAGACATTTGGTATATACTAAGTGGGGACGTACAGTGAATCTCTTTCACGGTCTGGCTTACTTTGCTTCACATTTAGTCTTCCATATTCATCCACTTTCTATCAAATGCCTGGGTCTCTCTCTCTTTTTTTTTTATGTTGAAGTAGTATTTTTTAGTGTGTATGTGCCACATTTTTTCAATTTGTTCATCTGTTCTTGGTCATTTGGGCTGATTTCATGTCTTATCCATTGTGAATAATGCCACAATAAACATGGATATGCAAGTGTTTTTGTGACTGACTGTATTCCTATCCTTTGGGTAGACACCAAGGAGTAAAATTGCTGGATTATATGATAGTTCTATATGTAGGTCTTTGAGGAACCTTCATAATGTTCTCCACAGTGACTGTTCTAATTTACATTCCCATCAACCATGTGGAAGAGTTCCCATTTCATTTCGACCTCACCAGCACTTATCTTTATTTTTTTTAATATCAGCCATTTTGACTGAGGTTAGGTGGTATCTCATTATGGTTTTAACTTACATGTCCCTTATAAAGGATGATGAACATTTCTTCATATGTTTTTTGGCTGTCCATATACTTTCCTTAGACAGTTGTCTGTTCAACTCATTTGCCCATCTTTTAATTGGATTGAATATTTTTGTGGGTAAGCTGCATGAGTTCCCTATATATTTTGGTTATGAGTCTCTTATTCTCTTGGTATTTTGTCATTTGTCCCTTATTCTCTTGGTATTTTTCCAGTTCTCTGAAGTATGTCATTATGTTATCTATTTGGCAAGTCATATTTAAAGCCCATGTTACCAAAGGCATTGCTTTCCATCATGAAGTTATGTCTCCCTGGTTGGATTCCAGGTTGTGCTGTTCAATCATTTCCATATTCTCCCATACAAATCGCTATTCTTCATCTCGATGCAGCCACCTCTGTGCAGACATAGTTGACAGGTACAGAGTACAAGGATCTCCTAGGTCAGCAGAAGCTCAATAGTAATAATTTTTATTAAAAAAATAATTTTTGACTACTTTAAAATAATTTTTCCCAGCATGAATACACCATATATTAGTCCAGAGATATTACCATATACGTTATCATCAACAGATAACTTTTCATTTTTGTGTCTGTTCAATGTTTTGCTTTCTCCCTGTCCTCCAATTCCCTCTCTCCCTCCCTACATTGTCAACCCTCCTCCCACATTGTCTTTAGTATCCATAGTTACTCTCCCTGCCTTTATACCTTCTAATTTCTCAGTTTCTGCCATAGAGTACTGACATTCAGTATACAATGTATTATTACTAAAAGTTAAATGATATCCAGGATATATTGGAATGTTGGAAAAGTCATGACATATCTTCCTATATTTTTCTGTGCAAGATGTGTCATGACTTTTCTGACAACCCATATATTGCCATTACTGAATACTCGTGCTACATAGCAGTGTTTTGGTCAGCAGCAGGCTGCATATATGACAGTGGTCTCAGGAGGATTGTATAGATTACACCATACAGCCAGTGTATAGATTCTAGGTCCCTGGGTTTGTGTAAGTACAGTCTGTGATGTCTGTACAACCATCAATCACTTATGAGAGCATTTCTCAGAACAGGACCCTGCTGCTTAGCATGATTCCATGTGTTTTAAACAACCTATCTCCAACGCCGTAGCTTGCTAGATAAAAGGTACAAAATACGCTTTCTTTTATATTTACCTACTGTGGAATATGGTTTATTTTCAATGGAATGCCTATAATTCCATTTCAATGGAATATCTGTCGGTAAGTTTCAATGGCAAAAAAAAGTAGCTGAGATGTCTGAGCTGACTATTTAGGTAGTGAAGATTGTGTATTTACTATTAGTGATTACCTAGAGTCTTTCATAGTAGTTAAAATGCATGCTGAGCAAGTGAGAAAGCTAGCTTCACAGAGTTTGAGAGTCTTATTCTCTACCCTAATTCTGATCTGTTTCCCAAAAGCATATGTGAGAAATATCATCATTTTGCTAACAAACTGAGCACACATACATAAGTATATAACCTGGAGACTGAGGATTCCCTCTACCCTCTAATTTTATAAAGCCAATTTATAGAAGCTAATTTCCTGAGATGCTTTAGGTATAGTTCATATACCTCTACTATATTATAGAATATGTGATCTATGTTTTTAAAAATATATGAAACAAAAGCCTATTTACTTTGATGATTTGAAAATACAGTCATCATCATATGATCAGTTTTCTTTTTCTTTTCTTTTCTTTTTTTTTTTTTTTTAGATTTTTGCCATAGGGCATGTGTACTAGCTGGAGAGAGACAGAGACAGTGAGAGGGAAAGTGAAAAATCACCCCCTATGGGCGATGGCCATATAACAGTCCCTTCTCCATTCTTCCCTTGGGATTTTGGGCTGAGTGTTCCATGTTATACTTCCATTAAAATGCAATGATTTTTTAAAAAGCTATGTAATCATCCTCGATATTCTTTTAATAGCTAGTGGCTGTGTTGAGAGAAGTAAAATACCTCTTAATGTTGAAGAAACCAAACCTACCAGATTCAGCTTTAACCATCTTCAAAAAGAGAAACACCATTTTAAAGGTTTGTATTTTTAGTTATCAGGGCATATACTGAATAGAAATATTTAGAAATTTAATTATTTATATATACGCCTATGACATTTTATGCTTCTAAGATAAAGAAAATAGCTAACATACTTGGTGCTTTTTTTGCTTTGGGGTTTTCTTTGCTCAGTACATTGGAAATCTTGAGCTTCTTGTACAAGGATATAATAAGCTGAAACAGACTCTTCTGGAAGTTGAATACCCTCTGATTGAAGATGAGCTGAGGACCATAGATGAGCAATTAACAGCAGCCACAACATGGTTGACATGGCAGGATGACTGCTGGGAATATATTGAGGCAGTGACGATGGCCACCTCTGAGTTGGAGCACAGAGTGGAGCGCACACAGAACAATGTGAAACTGATCCAGCAGACAATGAGGGCTTGGGCGGAGAACACATTCCTCCCCAGGAGAGAGCACAGAAGGGAGGCCACCTTGACTTTAGAGGACAAGGGCGATTTGTTTACAAAAAAATACAAGTTAATTCAAGAAGATGGCTGCAGGATACACAGCTTGGTGGAGGTAATTGCTTTTAAGGTTTCAAAAATTCTTTTGTTTTGTTAGAGGAAGATAAAAAATATTTAATCTAATATTATAGGACTCCTTTATTGAGCCTGAAAGAACCTGACAGTTGGTTATGTTAAACACTTAAAGTAGAAGAATTTATGTTACTTGCCTATAATTTCTGTAGCCCTTGGGACTATCATTCCTGAGGGAAGAGATAAAAATGTGAGATGTTTTGATGAAACAGAAAGGCTAGAGATAGGATCCTTATCTTTTTTTTTTTTTTAATTACCAGAAACAGGGAGAAGGGGAAATCACTCCCAGTGGGGTGTGGTCATGCTACAATCCCTTCTCCTCCCTTTCTCTATCCTGTTGGGATTTGGGGCATACATGCACATATGCCCAGCATGTTTTTCAAATCATAGGGGCCAGAATTTGAACTGTAATTGGCCATGTGTGATCTGGCTATGGGGCTGGTCCTGGATCCTTATGTTTGTCATAATTGTACTTTCTTCAGAAGCTCCCTCAGTTGAATGCCTGCCACGTGCCAAACACCTTGTTTACATCATCTCATAGAACCCTCTCAACCATCTCCTAAAGTTGACAACAGTAATAACTCTCCTTTTAACAAATAAGTCCCTAATTCAAAAGTCCAAACTTCAAAATGCTCCAAAATCTAAAACTTTTTGTGCGTTAACATGATACCACAAGTAGAACATTCCACACCTAACCTCAGGTGTTGGATTGTATTCATAGTAAAAAATGCTGTCATACAAAAATGTTGTATAAAATTACCATCAGTTTACATATTTAAGATGTATATGAGGGACCAGCACTTAGCGTAATGGCTATGTTGCTGGAGTCCATGCAGTCTACCGCGGTTCAAGTCCTGGACCCGGTGGCTTAAACTGTTGCTGGGTGCATGTGCGTGCATGCCCAAAATCCTGAGAGGAGAATGGAGGAAAAGGGATTAAGGCGTGGCCATCCCCCGTGGGGGTTGATTTCTTTCCAAAAAAAAAAAGAAGCATATGAAATATAAATTAATTTCACGTTAAGACTTAAATCTCATCCCCAAGATACCTTATTATATGTATGTAAGTATTCAAAAATTTTAAAAAACAGAACAAAACAAAACAAAACAAAAATATTGAAATCTGAAACACTTCTGGTCCCAAGCATTTCAGATAAGAAATATTCGTGTTTGGGTTCTTAAATAGTAACAGGCACTATTCTAAGATTACAGTTTAAGGGGACCAGCAGGTGGTGTGGTGGTTAAGGTGCTGGGCATTCTCACATGGCCTATAATGATTTGAGCCCTGGACCTGGTGGCTTGCTTTCTCACTTTCCCTCTCTCTCTCCATCTCTCTATCTGTGTCTCTCTCTGTTCAAATTAAAATGAATAAATGAATAAATGAAATTTAATAAAATAATTATTTTTAAAAAATATTACAATTTAAGAGAAGGCAGAAACATAAAATCAAACAAGCAAAAAAACAAAAATTCTTTTGTCTCATGGAACTTATACTCTCATCAGAAAATATAGCAAGAGAAAAATAACAAATATATGTCAGTTGTAATAAGAGCAATGATAAAAAAACAGAATAGAATAGGGTTAGCAGAAATGGGGAGGAGTGTTGTTTTATAAGGGGCAATGGGGAAGGCCTTCTTTCTTTTTTTTGTGAATTATTTTGTATTTAATTTTATTTATTCATTTATTTATTTAAATTTGACCAGACACATACACACACACACATACACACACACACACACACACACACACACACACACACAGAGACAGAGAAAAAAAGTGAGAAAGCAAGCCACCATGTCAGGGATTCAAACTGTGGTCAACCATGTGGGAGTGTCCAGTGTCTTAACCACTATGCCACCTGCTAGTACCCAAGAAGGCCTTTTTTCTAAGGTAGCATTTCTGCAGAGAACAAAAAGGGAATGAGCCTTGTAGGTATCAGGAGAAAGGCATTCTAGATAACAAAGGTACTAAAGCCTTAAGGTGGGAACACAGTTGATCTGTCCGAGGCTCAGTTAGAGAGCCAGCATGACTGAAGCACAATTTACAATGGGAGTGTTAGTTGGGGTTGAAGTTTAAAGAGGTAAAGGGCATATCATATGGATCAGCAGGCCATTTTGCAAACAGAATTTTATTCTAAGGTGAAATAGCTAAAGATTTTCTGCTTTCTGTGATGACCTGATTGGAGTGGGCTCACAGAGAAAGTGAGAAATGAAATGGAGATAGCCAATACATTTCTGAGAAGCTCTGTTGTAGGGCAAACTGAACAGTGACAGTACCCAGAGCATGTACATTGGGTTTGGGAGCATTTTATTTTAATATCAGTTGATATTTCAGGATGTTCATGTGTTGATTGGAATTATCTAGTACAGAATAAAAAGTGTCAGAGGAAAGTTAAGGAAATGGGATCTAGCACTAGCAGAAGTAGGCTTTAGATACGAAAATGAAGCATTCATCTGTGGTAGGAGAGGGAAGGCAGAGGATTGGGAACATGGTGGTCATAGGTGGGCAGTGCTTTGTCATGGGGACATGAGGAAGTTGATTTCTGGTTCTATTTCTTAAGGAAAAAATAGATGGAAATGAGAGAATGTATTCTGTTTTCCTCTGATTATCCTTGTTATATGGCATCTTCTCTGTGGATAGGTTCAGTCCTCAAGCTGTGAACACTCTCCTAAGCAGACAGGTCACACTACAGCTGTCATAAAGCACCATAGCATGAGGAAGGGAAAGTGCCTTGGTAGAGGCTGGTGTCAGTTTATTATTGGTTGATAAACAGAAATCTCTTTGACTGAGTGATTTATTTATAAAGAATACAGGTTTAATTGGCTCATGGTTCTGGTGGCCATCATTAGGCCACCCTTTGGTGCTACATTCACAACATGGCTAACAGAAGCAGAGAAGACTGTAGGCACATGCAGAGAGAGGAAACAGAAGTTTCACTTTCTCTGATTGGATGGTGCCTTCCCATAAGACCCCACCTTTTAAAGATCTCACCACCTTCTAAGGCCATTGGACTAGGTGCCAAGCTTTCAGAGCATGAACTTTTGGGGAAAAAACCATTATTTGAATCATAGCAGCTGGAAGCAAGGGTTTTTAGTCTATGTCTTCTGGAAACTGGACCTAAATTTTCTCATGTGTAGTTGGTAAGTCCTTACCTGTAGGCCAACCCTTAGTGGGAGAGCAAACAATGGATTATGGTTCTTCTGCTAGAAATTGTATGTAACCCATTATCTATCTTATCTTAGCAGTTCTTCATCATTCATTTATTCAAGAAATCTCTATTGTGAGCCTCCCGTATAGGTTTTCAAGATCCAGAACTGACAAAGATCATTTCTCTCAAGGAGCTTACAGTCTAGTGAGGAGAGAGGGGGAGTAAGCAATAGACAAAGGAAATCATTGTCTTCTAGAATTGGTAAGTGATGCAAAAGAAGATAAAATTAGAGCAGAGCAGGGGAATTCTGGAGTGTGATGTTCAGGGTGTGTTTAAATAGGATGATTAGGGTATGCCTCGATGAGAAGGTAGAATTTGAGCAAGGACTTGACAAAGGTTAAAGAATCAGCCAAACTTGAATTTGAATGGAGAATGTTCCAGGCAGAGAAAATGGCCTTAGTAGGGGTACCCTGGGCACACTCAAGAAAAAGCAGGGGAGTCTTTATTGGGAGCAGAGAGTGCTGAGTAGAGAGGAAATGAGATGGGGTCAGACCCTGACAGGGTGTCAGGAGGGGACAAGCTCAGGTGAGACTTTATGGGCTTTTGTAGAAACTCTGGCTTTTACTTAGAAGTACATGGAAAGCCACTGCAGGGTTTTCAGCAGAGCAGTAAATATAAGTTGACATTAATTTTTAAAGGCTCTCTGGCTGTTGTGTTGGGACTGTCTACAGGGAGTCAAGGGAAGAGGTGGGGAGCCCTGGTAGTTTGCTATAGCAGTAATCTAGGTATCAAAATATGCTTGGGCTACTGTGGCAAAAGACCTTAAACTGGGTAGCTTTGAAACAGCAGACGTTTATTTCTCACGGTTCTGGAGATGATCAGGTTCTGGTGAAGGCTCTCTCCTGGATTATAAACTACCAACCTCTTGTTGCGCCTTCACATTGTGAACGGGAAGATAAGCATCTTTGGGCCTCTTTTACAAAAGCATTAATTCTTTTCATGAATACTCTACCCTCATGACTTATCACCTCCACAAAGGCCTTGCCTTCTAATACCATCACCTTGGAAGTTAGGATTTCAACATGTGAATTTAGAAAGGACACAAGCATTCAGGCCAGAGAGTTAGGTAACAGAGGGTGGTGCATAAACCAGGGTGGAAGTAGTGGAAAGGATTAGAAGTAACTAGATTATTTTTTATTTGTTAAAATTTTACATATTTCTTCGATGAGCAAGAGAGACTGATGCTGGTATCTACTCTCAGTGTCATCGATCCCCAATCCTAAGCACATGGGTGCCTAGCATACTTAGGGAGATCTCCAGATACAAACCTAGAACCTTTTCAGTTGGGTCAGCCTTTCAGAGTATCACATTTGACCAGTACACCACCATCTGGCCCCCTGGATTGTTAGATAGATAGAAGATAGAAGTTACATAAATATATATTATATCGCCCTATCTATCAATCTATAGATCGATGGATAGATCTTCCTGTGGTATTTTCACTAAATCCTAGCATTGACTATCCCTAGCTGTTCACTGAGGCTCAGTAATCACTGAGTGACAGTAATTACTGTGTGACTTTTAGGACCCCTCTGCAGCTGTTTATGCATTAGAATCTATCTTATGGACAACTCATGATGTATTATCATTCATTTTTTTCTGTTACGTTTTCTCAATAATAATATAAAAAATATTCCCCACACAGTAATCTAGGCATTTTAAACCATTAAGATTTATGAGTCCTGATTAAGATGTATTGAAAGTATAGCCAATATGGCAAGAAATCGTTATAATACCAGGTTTTGCAGCATCATCTTAGAGCATAAGGTTAGAATTTTTCTACTAATAAATGGATTCTCATATTTTTTTTTCTTGAGTCAAACACTGGAAAGCTTTAAAACCATCATTTTTAGTGTGAGAACTGAAGCTTAAAGAAATACAAGCTTAAGAAAAAAAAAAAGAAAAAAGAAATATGAGCTAATCTCAAGGCAGAAATTAAATAATTGTTTGTTTTCATAAGTTGTATCTTATAGTGGTTTCTTTTTCCTTCTTAGTAGCACATGATTTTTAACCTAACTCTCAGGCTTTTGGTGAGGAATGTGGTTGGGGAAAGCCTTCAGAAATACAGCAGAAGGAGAGTGGCTTCTGTGTTTTCATACTGCATCCTTTGTAGTTTGTGACATGACCGTGAATGGTCAGGAGTCAGAGTTTAAGATGGAAAGAGACGAGAGGGCAGAGCGGTGTAAGATTGGGTCTGAAAGAGATGCAAGTGATCATTTAGTGAGTGAAACTGCTTTTTCTTTCTGCTTCTATTTCTCTAATGTGTCAAAAATACATTTCTTATAAATGCCACCTAAGTGGTGTACACTCTTAGTATGAAAAAGTATACCAGCAGTTAGAGTAATGGCTATGTCGCTGGACTCCCACGTAGTCGACCGCAGTTCGTGTCCCGGACCCGGTGGCTTAAAACTCACGCCGGGCGCGTGTGTGTGCGTGCCCAAGATCCCGAGAGGAGAATGGAGGAGAAGGGATTGCGGTGTGACCATCCCCCCTGGGGGGTGATTTCTCGCTTTCTGTCTGTATGTCTCTCTCTGTCTGTCTGGCGAGCGCACGCACCCTATAGTGAAAATCTCTCCCAAAAAAAAAAAGTATATCTGACTGTGATGTGTTGGAAAAGGCCCTGCTCCGAGAAATAAAAACTTTTTAGTCCTAGGTCAGCTTTTAACTTTCTAACAATCTTTTGGAATTTCTTTGTTTTCAAACTATAAAAGGTCTCTGTGTTCTTGTTTTTAAAATGAGGAGATTGAACACATGATCTTTAAAGATTTCTTTCAGCTCTAAGAGTATGCTTTTCCTTTCTAGTGCCTACATACATGCCAAGGCTGCTGGGTACAGCTTCCCAGGGTGTGCATTGAACAACTCCAGGACTGCAGGTCACATGACTACCCCATGTGCAAATGTTTCAACCTGTGTAATTCTGTTTTTTGCATAAAGTGTATAGCTTTGAATCTTGGCTCATACATTTACAGGAAAGGATCATGACAGAAAGTAGAGAATATAGCCTTTAATACCTTAAGTAATCAGCCCTTGTTCCAGCTCCTTTTCTCTGTGCTGTGATTTCTGTCTTAGGCATCTGCTCTGTGGTCTATAAAGACCATAAAATCTTTACTACATAGATAGTCTTTCTGGAATCAACCTTGCTGCCCATCTGACCTTTCCACATCTGGGTCTCTAGGCCTAGCACATTGTTTGCCCAACCCATAGTGGTCCTTAACCATATCGCCATCTTCTGGCCGCATTTTGCCCCTCTGACCTGTCCACCATTATTTCACCAGTCTTTTTGCAACATGCTGGAGTAGAAGCATTTCATATTATTGAAACACAAAAGGAGCTAACACTTCACTAACCTAGTTTCCCAAGTGAGTTGCTTTTTCACAGGCTGCTCACAGGTGGCTTGTAAGATAATCTTTGTGTTTGAGTAAGATCTGAAGACAGTTGGGCTAAACCAAATTTTATAGACTTTAATAGGTATACTCTGAGTCTATAGAGCTAACATAGAGTACACAGAACTTCCCTGACTTGATAATCTTTACGTATTTTAGAACAGTGTTTTCTGGAAGACCTATTGGAGAAATCTCTTTATATACAAGTAAGGCCCTGGACAGCAAAGTCCAAAGCCACATAGAGTTAAAAGATAGAACAGAACATGAGCCCAGGTCCATTTAAAATTCATTAAGAAGTAGTGTATTTCCTGTGTGTATTTGAAAGTGCAGTCTTCATATAGATCTTTTTCATCAAATGATGACTTTTGAATGTATTTCATATTTGAGCTTAGTATTATAAAATCTTACTTGGGGCGGGGGCAGCAGATGGTATAGAGGTTAAGGCACTAGACTCTCATATGACCAACCATGGCTTCAATCCTGGACCAGGTGGCTTGAAAATTATACCAGGTGCATGTTCATGTGTGCCCAAAATCCAGAGAGGAGAGGTAAATGGAGAAGGGATTATAACATGGCCATCCTTCTTGGTAATTTTTCGCTTTCCCTCTCACTGTCTCTCTTCAGTGAGCACATATGACCAAAAAAAAAAAAAAAGAGAGAATGCTTAGGGGGCTGGACAGTGGTGCAGCAATTAAATGTGACATTCTATAAAAATGCTTAGGGGGCTGGACAGTGGTGCAGCAGTTAAATGTGACATTCTATAAAGCTGACTCACATGGGAAGGTTCCAGGTTCACGTCTAGAGACCTTCCTGAGTACTCTAGGCACATGCGTGCTCATGATCTAGTGCTGGCTGAGGCTGGGGGTGGATCATGGTGTGGAGACCGTGTTGGGAGTATTGACTCTGTCTTTCTCATAGAAGAAATCAGTAACAATAAGTTTTTTTAAAAGAAAATCTTACTTTGCCATCGAGATGAAGGTCCTGTAGCCTACCATTTGAATGTTGCTGTGTTGTACACAAAAGTACAGTCCCTTCTTTAACAAACCATTTAAATAGCTTTTATTTTTATACATATTATTTATATTCATGCATTGTGTGTTCAGATGAACAAGTATTCATCTTATGCTTTCTAGGAAAACAGGGAGCTCTTCAAAGCCAGCGCCTCTCTGGATACCTGGAAAATTTATGTAGAATTCATTGATGACATCGTGGTGGAAGGCTTTTTTCAGGCTATAATGCATGACTTGGACTTTTTTCTGATGAATACAGAGAAACAATTGAAACCTGCTCCACTTTTTCAAGCTCAAATGATGCTAATGCCTCCCGAGATTGTGTTTAAACCTTCTTTAGAGAGAGAGGTTGCGGATGGCTTTTATGACCTAGTAGAAGAAATGTTGTGCAGTAGTTTCAGAATGTCTGCCCAGATGAAGCGAGTAGCAGCACATCTGGAAATAGCAAATTACCAGGTATTTCTTTTAAATGGGTATTCACTGTTAATGTTAATGATTCGAAAAATAAACTGAGGCCATGGGGGGGGGGGCTAAAAAATGAAGTTGGAAAGAGTAACGTAATTTTTTATTTTGCCTGCTATTCTCCCTTTGAAGAATTGCCTTGGACAGCGTTACATTGCACATGATTGCCAGAGCAAGATGAGCTTGAATGAGTGCTTGTTTTTCCTCTCCTTTAGAACGATATGGATAACATGTTGGGCCTGGCAGAGGTCAGGCAGGAGATAATGAAGAGAGTGGCAAGTGTCATCGACAAAGTCTTGGATTTCAGAAATAGTCTAGATATCTACGCTTACCTTTGGGTAGATGACCGAGCTGAGTTTATGAAGCATTTTCTCCTGTATGGCCATACTGTATCATCCGAAGAAGTGGATGCTCAGACCAGTGAAGAAATCCCTGAACAACCACCAACTCTTGAACAATTCAAAGAACAGGCAAGGAAAACCCTTCACGTGTGATGTAGTTCATTGGCTTTTTAATGAGTTGCTAGAATAATTTTTTTCCCTAATTGTAGATCGACATTTATGAGGCATTGTATGTTCAGATGAGCAAGTTTGATGACTTCAGAGTGTTTGATAGTTGGTTCAGAGTGGACCTGAAGCCATTCAAAGTGAGCTTGCTAACCATTATTAAGAAATGGAGTTGGATGTTTCAGGAGCATCTTTTGAGATTTGTCATCAACAGGTAGCCTTTGTACTTTGGGATTTTTGAATTATGATTTTTAACCCTGACTGCTTCCTAAAATTGAGATACTAATTTTAAGAGCATTTAGTACTGCAAATTGCATAATAGAGATAAAAGTAATGTTTAATCAGGTACATAATGAAAATAAGACTCGATCAGAAGTTGTATACTACTAAATGTTTTAACGAACTTTATTTGCTTGTGTATTTCTGTGTGTATGTGTATTTACTAGTCTGAATGAGCTACAAGAATTTATCAAGGAGACAGATATAGGACTCCAGAGAGAACTCAATGAAGGTGATCATGATGGTTTAGTTGACATCATGGGGCATCTTCTGGCTGTCAGAAGCCGACAGAGAACTACAGATGAGCTTTTTGAACCCCTAAAAGAAACCATCACACTCTTGGAAAGCTATGGCCAGAAGATGCCTGAGCAAGTCTATATTCAGCTAGAGGTAAGCAGAAAGGTCAAATAATAACCATAAATTTAGTTACTCCTTAGGCAAGTACTTACTTCACATACTCTCTTAGGACACCCTTGTAACACTCTACCCTATAGACATTAATGTTTCATTTTATAGGTGAGGAATCTGAAGAGATTTAGTAACTTTCTCAAAGAAACAACCCTTAGCTGGGTTTTTCAAGATAAAACTCACCCTATGCTACTGTGCTCCACTGCAGTCTTGTTACATTCTATAGGGAGCCTTTAGGTTGATTTCTTTTTTTTTAGTTCAAGATTTTGTTTTTTAATTTTATTTATTCTTAGTATTATTTTAAAGTTTGCTATAGGGCTCAAGTGCACGCCAGAGACAGAGAAAAGGAGAGATAAAGTGAGGAAACAAGCTACCAGGTCTAGGACTCGAACCACAGTCAGCCATGTGAGAGTCCAACACCTTAACCACCTTGCCACCTACTGGCCCTATAAGTTCCAGTTTTACCAACATTTTTACACATCCAATATATCCATATTATTCAAAACTGCCTGTCAGTTGAGAAGTGTCCTCACCTTAGAACTGTATCTTGGACATTAATGAAGAATAAATAAATCCCAGGCCAGCCCTGTAGCCTAGTGATTAAGGGAGTTAGACCCTGCTTAGCCAACTGTGGTTCAAATCCCACCCCCAGGAGCTTGAAAACACACTGTGTGTATATGCATAACCAAAATCCTGCATCAGAAGGCAGGATGGAGAACTGGAAAAGAAAGAATTATAGCATAACCATGACCCAAGGTACGCTGTGTGTATATGCATAACCAAAATCCTGCATTAGAAGGCAGGATGGAGAACTGGAAAAGAAGGGATTATAGCATAACCATGACCCAAGGTACATTGTTTTCTTCGTTTCTCTCTGGCAAGTGCACATGCCCTCTAGCAATTAAAAAAAATTCTGATTTGGAAGGAGAAATCACTGTTTCCTAAATAGCTGTTTATGCCATGCTCCTGTTTCTGTGCTCTGGAAATAATATTTGGTGGCTGCTGTTTGTGAAATGATGAACAAAGTCTTTTTTTTTTAATTATCTATTTAATTTTATTTGTTGTTGTTATTATTTTAATTTGACCAGAGAGAGAAAAGGCAAATGAGAAAACAAACTGCTAGGTCTAGGGCTTGAACCACAGTCAGCCATGCAGGAGTCTAGCACCTTAACCACCATGCCACCTGCTCGCTCCTAATGAAGTATTTTTAATTATGACTGAAACTATGAACAAAGACCTCACAGTGAGGTGCTGTTGCCATGCCTATATTGAAGTTCTGCAGGTTGCATGTACATCATCCCTCAGCCTCCAGGCCAGGCTCTCATTTCATCTTGCAAATCTGATTAGTGGACACATCAATAAAACCTTCATTGGATACTGGTTCATCCAGTTTAGTGGTCAGAGCACAGAACTGAAATTGAGGCTTGTTTTCAAGTACTGTGTGAGTGCATCTCATCTGCTTGCCTCAGCAAGTTAACAACTCAGAGCATACTTCCTTTTTAGTAAAATACCCCTGTGAGCCTTCATTTTAAAGAATTTATCTATACTTGCTATCTCCAATTTCTCATTTTTTGTTCCTTTTTTTTTTCTTGAGGTGAAATCCACAATTTAGATAACATAAAAGTAACAATCTCAAGGTCTACGATTCAACAGCATTTACTGTTAGTACATTGGCAATGTTGTGTTTCCTTGTTCCAAAAATATTTTATCACCTCCCCAAAGAAGCCCCGTACCTATTAGCTATCACCTTTTACTACCCTCCTCCACCTCCCACCAAGCTCTACTTACCAACCCTTGGCAACTTCCAATCTATTTCTGTGTCTGCGGTTTCACGTATTCTGGGTACTTCGTGTAAATGGAATTAAACAAAATGTGATTTTTGTAATTGACTTCTTTCACCTGGCATAACATTTCTGAGGTTCACTCATGTAGAATGTATCAGCACTTTATTCCTTTTTATGGCTGAACGATATTCCTTTGTTATCCATTCATCTGCAATGGACGTTTGTTTTTTCTGTGTTTTGGCTACTGCAAATAGTGTTGCTATAGATATTGGTGTAATAATTATGTGAATACCTGTTTTCAATTATTTTTGGTATCTACTTAGGAGTAGAATTGCTGGGTCATCTGTCTTTTTTTTCTTTTTTCTTTCTTTTTTCCTTGCCAGGGACATAAATGCTTGCCAGACAGATAGGGTAGGGGAAGGATGAGAAAGCACCCCTAGAGGTGACGGACATGCCACACTCCCTTCTTCTTCAGACTCATCTTGGGATTTTGGGCACACACGCACACATGCTGGGCATGATTCTTATATCCCTCATTTTATTCATGAAGATTAAATGCAGTGTATTTACAAGTCCTCTCTTGACTATAAAGACCATGAAGAATTACTACATATGAATTACTAAAGTTTATTTAAACATAACTGTCATTAGAGTCAGAGTGAGATGACAAACCATGGACAGATAGATACGTAACAAGATAAGAGGTAAAATAGTTACAGTGGAACCAGCTGTAAATACTTCTTGATTTTAGAAAGATATTCTTTGAATCAGATCTTGACCCTTGAAATATATCTCCCACAGAAACGAGTCATAACATGAGTAAGTAGTGAGAATGATTGTAGCAATGGCTTTCAAAATCTATATTACATGCTGAGTATCTGTAATCTGAAAACCCCAAATCCAAAAAAAAAAATCTAAATTTTTTTGAGTGCCAACATGACATTATAAGTGAAAATGTCATGTTTGAACTCATGTCATGAGTTGCAGTAAAAAAATCAATATAAAATCATAAATTTACCTTCAGGCTACATGTATAAAGTATAGATGAAACAAACAAATGAATTTTGTGTTTAGAGTTGGGTTCTATCCCTCAAGATATCTCCTTATGCATATTCAAGTATTCCAAAATACAAAACACTTCTGATTCCAAACATTTTGGATTTATACTCAATCAGCATAAAAATTTGGCTCTCTGCTTAAGGTTATGGTAATAATGAAAGCATTAAGCTTTTTTTTTTTTTTTTTGGAAAGATTTTCACTATAGGGCACGTGCGCTCGCCAGACAGAGACAGACATTAGAGACAGAAAGCGAGAAATCACCCCCCAGGGGGCATGGTCATGCCGCAATCTCTTCTCCTCCATTCTCCTCTCGGGATCTTGGGCACGCACGCACACGCGCCCAGCGTGAGTTTTAAGCCACCGGGTCCGGGACACGAACCGCGGTCGACTACGTGGGAGTCCAGCGACATAGCCATTACGCTAACTGCTGGTTCCCGAAAGCATTAGGCTTTTCAGTGTTTCAAAAGCAGGACACACTTTTAGCTATATTGTCTCTATGTCAGCAATTTGACCGCTCAGGAGGAAAAATCAGATCTATAAGCAGTGTGTGTTGCATGTAGATGGTAATAGGGCCCCCCATTTTTTTTTTACTTATTTAATTTTTTTTCTTTTCATTCATGATGGAGCACATGCATGTTAGTGGGGTGGGGAGAGAGCACATGCGATGAGCACTCTCTATGAGGTCTGGTTACACTGAGTTCCCTTCCTCCAGTCCTCCAGTCCATCAGATCCTGGACACTTGCCCACTTGCCTGGTGTGTTTCAGGCTGACAGGGCCAGGAATTCAAACTATGGGTACCCTATGTATACCAGCTTCTCTGGAGCAGCTCCTTTTCTCTTTGCCATGGAACTGCCCCCGTTCCCTGATTTCATTTTAATTAAGCAACTTGTGGTGGTTACTCTGTTTCTCCTCCAGTAAGTAGTAATATTTTTCAGATACTTGTCCGTGCTTAGTTCTATGCTAACAAAACAAAACAAAACAACCTTAAATGTGGTGGTGCCTGCTTAGTTTAAGTATTACCTTCTCAAAGTAATGGGAATTTGCCACCAATAAGGTGGTCTCTAGCTATAGCATCTTTTCAGTGCCTTTTTTTCCCCCCATTTTTGTCTACCTGTTTTAATTCAGTTCTTGTTCTTTTTTTTTTTAGTTATTGAGAGAGAGATAGACAGACAGACATAGAAGCATCCTTGACAGGATCTTCACACCGAGATTCTTCCCCTATACCTGCATACAACCAGGATTATGTGTGTGTTTGGGTAGACTCAGGATGTGAATGTAGAGCCTCCCCATAGTTTACAGCATTGTATAATAATGCCTCTATGGCCTGCACTACCATGACTGGGCTAGTTCTTCTTACCTGCTATCTCATCCACATTCATAGCCTCTCTCTCGCTCTCGCTCTCTCTCTCTCTCTCTCTCTCTCTATATATATATATATGTTGGGTCATCAGAAAAGTCACAACATACTTTGCGTAGAAAACAAAAGAATATGCCATGACTTTTCTGATGATCTAATATATATTGGGTCATTGGAAAAGTCATGATGTGTTTTTCTATGCAAAAACGCATCATGATTTTTCCAACGACCCAATATATATGTATGTATTTATATTTTAAAGTTTATTATTCACATTAGCGAGTACACGTAAGAGAGAAAGGCTTTCTTTTTTTTTTAATTTATTCATTTTCTACATTAATTCACTATACACCATCACAACACACAAATGAATTTTCCATCCAAAATACACTGTGCATTGGCTCAATCAAGCACATCAACATACATGTTCTCAGCAAATAATTTTCCAATTCTTATGTCCTGCATACCTTGCCTTTTGTTTTGCCATCCCTGATTCCCCATCC